ACTACACCACGGGATCAGACACCCAATGGTAAGACCCGCGAAGTGGTTAAGACACCATAATCTACGGGCGATTATCATCTAAATCTGTTGCTGCTGTTGGCGCTCATTCTGCTGCAGTTGGATCTCTTGGAAGCGCTGACTGATCCGCTGATTCATCTTCAGGAACTTGTCGAAGCAGTTGTTAGCGCAGGTCTCCTCTTTGGTGGCCACGGTTCTGGTGGTGAAGTCATGCACGCAATCCATGAAACAGATTTCCGACAGTTTGTTGTAATTGAGTATAAAATCCTTGAACTGTTTGATCTGATCCGTGGTGTTGTCGGCCATCGCTTATATACGCCCGACTACTTGTCGTCCGACACCTTCCGACTCCCGAGAGATCTTCACCGCGGATGAGATATTCAATGGTAAGCGTGACGTCCGGCGAGACAATCACACAATCAATGCGTGAATTGTTTGTCAAAAACGACTCGTTATTTGCAGTGAAACACAAAAACATGTGACAAAAAACCACTTTTGTATGGCTGTGTGAAAAGGGCCCAAACCTCGTGGCCTTAGCCATGCATTGCCACACATGCAGTACATGTGTATCGCTTGACATAATAACGTGTATTAACGCTGTTTTGTAGTGAACGCACACTTCCACGTGAGTCACATGTTTGCCATATTTAGCACACATTTGCCGCACATTTAGCCCACAATTTACAGACAAAGACCACAATTATCTTCGCCCCGATAATCACATCCCTGTCGCCAACGATGACTTCAGATCCGTTGGACACGGCGTTTATAGAGGACGGCTGTTTCGACGACCTCTTCTCCATGAGGACCCAGTTTTTGGATGACTTGGAGATCGCGTTGGAGGCCAACAATATCGACACATTGCTGGACATGTTTGAGGAGAACCAGAAGAATGACGACTACGACGACGACTACGTGACGTTGGGTGACATCGTGAGCGGCCATTGCGACCGTCCGGTAGACCCTAAGGCCATCAAAGCCGGTAATGGCGTGAAAGGCAACGCCGGATGCAGTGGTGGTGACGACAACAAAGCGGTGGACACCATAAGGATCGTGATGTCGCCGAAAGTACGCAAATCCAAGACCAATAGGTCCTCCGCGTACGCCACCGGCAAACGCAAAGGCGTCTCACTATTGGCTAAACCGACGCGAAGTCCGCCGAAGCAGCGGTCGATACTCTGCGTGAGTGACACGCATTTGGATTCACTGTCTTCGCCGTCACTTCAAGAGCACGACTACTGTATGTCGACGACGACCGGCGCCGCAGATAACACCCGATTATACAACAAATTACCGCAATATTTGACTCAATTGTCGGATGTATGCGACGAGCAATCGGTGGCCAATTGGTGTCCAACGAGCGACACATTCGACAAGATTCCCAATTATATGAAAGGGTTTCTCAATTGTGACGATAATAGCGATGCCGTCGGAAGCGATGAAAACATTTTCATCGAATCCATTGAAGCGTACATCGAAATGGCGGACATATTCATCGACAACGAGATCCAGGACTTAGACTTAGGATCAGAGCTGTTCTCTGAGGAGAATCATGAGACGAAAGAAGACAATAATTTTGTGACGAATACTAACTACTCATCCGAAGAGTCGCCCAAAGATAGCAAACAAATGCATAATATTTTAGACGAAAATCAGTTTAAGCATCAAAACGAAGAACAAAATGATTACCAAAATAATGTAAATTATAGTAATAGTGATGATAACAGACATACCGGAGGCCGACAGTCGAGGTCCAGGAGTCGCGAACCAGTAGTTCATAATAATAGCAAATATTCATCGACTAGAAGTAGACGTGTGTCCACGCGTTCATCCGTTGATAGCTCTTCCGATTGCGAGACGAGTAGTTCGCGGAGTAGTTCCTGTTCTTCGTGTTCGTCATCCGATTCACAGACGAGTGGCCACTCGAACGACACGGACGTGACATTCAAACTCACAAATAGTATTCGTCGGAACGAGAGGAACGACAGCACAGGCGGTCGGAAGCGCTTAAGCGAAAGCGAAATGAATTATCGCTCAAAAATTAGGCCCAATTTTCGGCCAAACAGTTACAGCAATAACGATGGCGTGAATCGCGTGGCGAAAAGCGGCCGAACTCTGGTGCCGAAGACGGCTATTAAGGACATCGACGACCGGAAGATCGTATACGTGGGTAACATACCGGACGGCACCACCAAAACGGACGTCCGGCTGTGGTTCGCCCGGTTCGGCGCCATCAAAGAGGTGTCCGTCCACTTGCGCGACTCGGGACACAACTACGCGTTCGTGACGTTCTTCAGCCGTAAGGACGCCTACCGGGCGGTCGAGAGGGCCAACGACGACTCCGGGCACCCGGCGTTTGAGCTGAGCTTCGGCGGCCGGCGCCAGTTCTGTAGGACTCGTTACGAGGATTTGGACGACACGGAGAACCGGTCGCTGTCTGCGGGGGACATGGATTTCGACGCACTGTTGCGCTCGACGCAGGCGAAGGTCGGCCGATGATAGGACGGGTGTCTCCATATATATGTCTCTATAATATTTGTATATCTTTTGCGTTAATTATATTAATTAATCGATTAATTAATTTATTGGTAATAGAGTTGAATTGAAATCTATCGCTATATCTAATGATTGATGAATTAATTTACAGAAATTTTTTATATCAATTCCGAAAACACTTTTCATTATTATGATTATTATGACGATTATATTGTGAAATGAATTATTTTGTTTAGAAAAACAATAAATATTTTGAATCCGATTTCCGATGTGTTTTATTTTAAAGCCTTTTAAAGTCCAATAGATTTGTGGGCCATATATGCGATGAAAATAGTTTATCACAAACTCGGGTAAAAACAGAATCAATATTTTATTTGTTCATAAAAATCTTAAATAAATGCATAATTTGGTGAATAATGACTCGGATTTATATATCATTTTTAATATAAAAAATTGTTTTCATATATCATATAAAAAAAGGTTCTCTCGTTTTGGTCCCAAATGAATGGATGATTGAGTTATCAAATTATACAATGAAAACGATTCGTGTGTTTAATGTGTTTATCGGACATAAACTCTATAAAAAAAGATAACTTAATATTTCAATCGTTTTGTGTTTAATGCGATAATTAAAACATAAAAATACTGTTTTCAGTCGAGTTCTCAGCCCTATTTCAGCCGTGTTTTTAAATACAATATAAAAAAATATATATTTATAGATATCTTTAAATAGTTATTTTTAGTGTAAATATATTTTGAATATAAAAAAATGTGCGAAAAATATATGTGAAAATTTATAATAGATTTTCTTACAATATATATATATTTTAATTTATAAATATTTGATTTAAAACATTTTCGAAATGTATGAAAAATATGATTACTTAAGTATGCAATGAAAAACAATATATGTTTGGTTTTAGTTGTCATTTTCATCTATAGTTAGAGATTAAAAATCACAATCAATTGTAGATATATTTGTCTCAATCAATAATCAACTCCTAATACAACTCTCGGGAACACTTCCGACACTTTTATTTCATAAACCCATAAAAGTCGCGAAAATGAGCCGAGAATTATAAAATTTCACTCAAAATATTTGTATTAATAGTATATATTCACAACGAAAACACTTTTTAGTTTTTAGTTTTGCACTCAAATGATTAGTTTGCAAACCAATTAGTTTTCACATAAAAATAATGATTAACTAATGTACAAAATGATTGGTTTAGGAAATGGTACATAAAAAATACAAAAAATCTAGTTTACAACCAGTTTGTGAAAAGCACTTATACTTTAGAGCCGGGCCTTACATTTTGATACTTGGCGGCCATGTCGTAGCCGTTGCTGTCATGGATGGCATTACTGTTACTCTGAGTGTGTATTGTGTCGTATATACGACTGGCCGGCGGGTTCTGCGGGGGCTGCGAATGGCTTGAGTATCCATTAGAGTAAGTGCTGCCATAGATCTTCAGCTGATTGGTCTGATAGATGGGCTGCTGTTGGCGTACTAATGATGGCACTTGTATTGAGGTTCCGGTGGCGCCTACACTCGTCGGCGACGACGCCTGAATGCTCTGCGCCAGCATTTCCGACGGTTTGGCGTACTTTTTGCTGCGACGGGTGAGCGACGCGCCGCTCGGGCCGTCCTTTTGCGGCGAAACGTTATTATTGACGTTATTTTGCTGCTGAATGAGCTGTTGTTTGGCTTTGAGCACAGCGGTGGCCGTCTCGTACTCGTAATAGTGGGGTCTGTCGTGCGGTTGCGGGCCGACCACCTGTCGCGCGCCTAACGGTGACGACACGTGCCTCTGGTGCTGACCGGACGCCGACCGCACCATAGGTTTGGGCGGCGGGTCGGCGTCGACGGGCGGCACATAGATCTCGTAGTCCGAGTAGTGGTTGACGTTGTGCTGCTGTTGCTGTTGTTGGTGGTAGTGATGCATCTGTTGCTGGATCTCCCGGTAATTCATGTAATGACTGTATTTGTTGTTGTGATCAGCGATTCCCACACGACTTCCGGGTCTTCGCGAAACACAGAGAGAGACATAAAAAGAGTTAATAAAAAACATTTCGCAACCAAATTGTTTGGCAACAAAACTAATAAGTCGTTTACCTCTCCATCTGTCTATAAATATCATAGGAGTTGCCTCTCGAGTGCTGAGCGTCAACGCCAGGCATCTAAGCGATGGATAATCAGAGAAAATTAGATAATAATCGCCAATAAAAACACGGCATTCAAAGCGGTACACACAACACATGCTGTCAGTCATTGCGATTTGTGTTAAATATTACAACAAAATACATAAAAATTATTGCAAAAAATACATTCAATTTAATGGCAAACGTGTTATAAAGAAGCGATTCTTAAGAGTATTTTCAAAGCATTAAGAATCCATTCAAATAAATGCGAAAAAAAATTCAAACACTTTCTCATACAAAAAGCATACAAATAAAAAAGTCAAAAGTATTATTAGTTCGTGTATTACGAGTAGTAAAAAGCATTCATGCAGTGAATCAGCCATCGATTAATTGGTGAGTGATTTGACGGCACGAAAAACACACACAAAGATTGGACACAAAAACTCCGAAACGATTGGATAATCGGTCATCGGATTCAATACCTTCGGACTCTTGTGGGCATTACTTCTTAGACTCTGAGCGCGTCTCTCGAATGCATTCGACTGCCATTTGTATACATTATTTGGTTTAAAATTATTATTACATTTGGATTCAGACTTTTTTATCGGTATATACACAGTATGTATAGTCAGGTAGTGAACAGTGTTTACAGTCACGAGTAAATTGTGGAGTAATTGGAGAGAGAAGTTCCCACAAAATAATAGCAAATAATTGATAGGAAATAAGAGAATTTTTCGAAACATTTTCAGTTCAAATGCAACAGAAAACTAGAAAAACTTATTTTTTATCCATACATTTATTGTCAATACAAAAATTCATGCATTTATTTAAAAAGTCAAACCGAAAATCAAAAACATAACTTAAATGTTAGTAAATAATAATAAAAATAACGAATAGTTTTTTAGGACACAAATCATAGGAATATAGAAATCATGAGATCCGATACCTTAGAGGGGGAGACCAAACGCCGAGGACTGGGAGGATAGTTAGCATTAATGGGATACGAGATATACATTTGAGTGGAGGAATAGTTGGGACTATTGGCGTAATCCGACTGTTAATCGTGTGGATAATGGGATAATAAATAACGAGAGAAATAAATAAATATAATAATCAGTCAATGAGTCACTCAATCACCGAAAATCATGAAAACAAAATCATTCAACAAATCCATTGATAGGCCGAACCGAATGATTCAAATCCATTCAAATACCTGATGCTTGCGATCCATTGAGCTGTAGGTGTCGTACAGGCGCTGTTCGTTCGGGTATACCCTTTGCCGCTCGAGATGCATGCGCTGGTGCTGTGCTCTCAACTGAGCCATGCGTTCGTTGCGGGACATCGCGCCGTCGGCATTGAGCTCGTGGTTAGCCAACTGGCCGGTCGTCGCGCCGGTGGGTGTGCTGTGCATGGGCTGAGTGGCGGCGGCGCCGAAACGCTCGCCAACCGCCGACTTTGAGCGCTGACGGATGGGAGGCGTGGGCTGTGCCGTGTGTGACACGAGTTGCTGCTGTTGTTGATGGTGTTGTTGCTGTTGGTGTTGGAGGTGCTGTTGTTGCTGCTGCTGTTCCATCAGTCTCTTGTAGTGCATGTGAATCCTCTCCTGTTCCATGAGATACAGTTGCTGTGCGTTGTGAACACTCATCTGGTCCCGAGGCTGTTGATGGCTACCACCACCGCCGCCAGCGTTGCCGCCCTCCCTCTCGGCCTTGTGTTTGGCATCAGACGAGCGACCCTTCTTAGAGCCAAACTTAAACCACGTCTTCAAGAGTCGCTTCTTTTTGCCGCCGCTCTTCTTCTTCTGGCTGAGGAAGCCCTGCGTCTCGTCTTCGGTGGTCATCTGGGATGAGGTGCCCGTTGTGGCCGTGTATTGAGTGCTGGCCATCGATAGGGCACCCGATGGTCGCACGAGTATGGCCTGCGTGTGATGCATACGCGGCTTATGAGGAATGTTCTCTACGGACGAGCCGTCGCTATCGCTATCTTCTTCGGCCACTATTTTTAACCACAAAACGATATATCAATAAAAACGCATCAAAACTATTGCCAACAAAAATAAATACCGGTTTCCATAGTCTCGTGATTTTCGTTATCGTTGTTCGCGTCGTAACTCCGGTCGACGGCCGCTCTGAAGCTCTCATTGGTTTCGCGACTCCGGGACACCCTTACGGTGGAGGGCCGGGGCGTCGTGAATGGGTTCACCGTTTCTAACTGTTCCTTCTGGATGTCCTGCATCATAGTCTGCAGACTCTCTAAACTACTGGACTTTCGCATCCCTAACCCCGGGCCCACATCTCTCGTGTGATTATTAGTATTCGTGCGGACCGTATGATAAGGACAGGAACCGGGCGATCGACACTTCCCTACATTTTCGCAAACAATTCGTAAAAACATATAAAAACAATAATAAAATCCATAACTAGTGCTGCAAATCATAACCACAAACATTACATAACAAACAAAAAAGTCAACCAAAAAATGAAACAAAAAAACCAAAAAAAATTATCACAAAATTACAAATCATACAAAACAACTGATAAAATGAGAATAAAAGGCATAATATTGGTGCGAAAACCTAATGGAAAAGTGCTATAAATACCAAAAAAATTCATACAACAACACGCCGGGGAGAACAACTGA